CGGAAAGTAATTGAATTAAGTAAAAATAGTGTTATTTGTGCTTTTTTTAAACATTTATTTATTATTATTTATTTATTTAAACATATTTTAACACCTTTATCCACTGTTTATTCAACAATCCAAGTTTTTTTTCAATCAAAGAATATTGCGAAAAAAATGTTAAAAAAAAGTTTTCAAAAAAAATGTTACATAATGAAAAATTTCAGTTATTGTGAGGAACTGAACGCAATTTTCAGCGGCGTTTTTTTGCTTCAATTCACCATTTCAATCGCTTCAGCTTCAGTCTCGACTTTTATTTTCATGCAACCGTAAGTGTAATTAATAAAATTCTCTTAATTAGTTATTTTTAGAGGGGCTTTGGCTAATAGAATGAAATTTGTCACATATTTTCTTGCGATTATTGCTGAAACAACGTTTTATTGCCTGCCTTTGGACATCGTTGTGAACACTGTAAGTGAAATCGCGTCTCAATTAATTTATTTCAAAAAATTTCAGGCAAATCAATTAAGTGATGCAGTTTTCGAGTCAAAATGGTACGAAGTTGACGTTTTACAATACAAGAAATGTTTAACACTTGTGATAGCAAGAGCGCAAAAAAGTGTTCGTTTTAGCGGTTTTGGGATGGTTTATATTAATCTTCGCACTTTTTTGATTGTAAGAACAAGTTTTGGGGTTTAGAAAAGATGGATTTTAGTTTGTTGCAGATCTGGAAAACTGTGTTTACGTTTTACACTTACCTGAATTCGGCGGAAAAAATCTCGGAGTAATTCAATTTTAACTGTAGTCAAACAAGTGTAATTTAATTAAAATAAAAGTCTAATTAAATTTGGTGATGAAATAAAAATATTCCCCCAGTCGAGTTTACAATAAAGCAATTAAATAACGATAAAAAATGTTTTAAAAATACTAAAAATAAAATCCTGACGAAAAACCCATTCGTCTCACTTTTTTGTAATATTTAGTTTTAATTAGTTTTAATTAATTTTCTTTTTTTTGGTAGAATCAAATCAAAGTATTGTAGAAAACAAAAATAAAAACTTTATGACAAAGCTCCAACATCTAAATACATTTTTATTAACTTTTTTAACAGATCATGAATTTCCATTTAAAATAATTGTTAACTAGGTAATTTTTTTTTAAAGTTACACTTTTTTTAATTGTGTTTTTCAGTGTTTATTTTGTAATATAATGACTGTCACTAGTAAATTTTTTGACGTTTAATTTACATTTAGACTGCTTTATAAAGCAAAAACAGAATATGTAATAACTTTAACTAATTTTTCAGAAATTTGCAAAATTTCTCGTAATATTTTGAGTTTTTGTGTACAAAATGTTGTTTAAAATATATATTATTGTCACGAACATTTTGTTAATTAAAAATTAATAAATCTTTACAAATTCTATGATTTTTTCACTTCTTTTCCAAGTGTAATTTTGTCCAAAGAGAGTCATGTTTTCGCTATTTTTCTCAATTATGTACTTTCAATTTTTTTTAATTCTTTGCTTTAGTATTAATTTTGTTATTCACATAAGATGCAATAAAAAAATTTAGCAAATTTGTTAAAAAAAGTTTTATTTATAAAAAATTGAATAACTTAACCTAAGTGTTTACAAATAATATTG